CAGTTTCAATTCGACACCACCCGTTTCCCAGGTGTTTGATCCAAAGTAATTCAGTTTTTAGCTCTCTGGGCCTCACTTACCTTCATCACATATAAATTAGCTGTTTATTTGTATGGTTTTTTTAAAATTGCGGGGTTTTTTTTTGTTTTGTTTTTTGTGTTTTTTGAGGATGGAGTCTCACTCTGTTGCCCAGGCTGAAATGGCAGTGGTGCAATCTCGGCTCACTGCAACAATCCGCTTCCTGAGTTCAAGTGATTCTCCTGCCTCCGCCTCCCGAGTAGCTGGGGATTACGAGGAAGCCCACCAACCCATTGCCCTGACAAACTATTTTGTATTTTTAGTACAGACAGGATTTTCACCATGTTGGCCAGGCTGGTCTCGAACTCCTGACCTCAAGTGATCCACCCGCCTTGGCCTCCCAAAGTGCTGGGATTACAGGCCTGGTGTATTCCTTTTGTATCTGGTTTATTTCATTCAATGTGATGTTTGTGAGGTTCACTCATGTTGCTGTGAGTAGCTGTAGTTCATTTGTTTTCATACTAGGATTGCATTTACATAATGTCCAAATATAGGGCAGAACTTTGGGGGATTCCCGGTTAGGTGGTAACACATGACCGCAACTTCTGGTATACTGGCAAGATTCTAATTCTTGAGCTAAGTGAAGGTTACACAGGTGTTTAAGATTAATTATTGAGCTATGCATTTTTGTTTCATGCACTAATTCTGTATAAATAATAATTAAATTATATTGAAATTTTAAACATTACAATATGTGTATAGCATACTGGAGTAAGAAGAAGCTCTTCAAGGCTAGAAGTGACCTGCCTGAGGATTTCAGCTGTGCTCAGCTCTGCATGATCTATTCAAAAGTGGAAGGGATCAGTATCGTGGCATGCCAATAACCTACATGTGGCACACTTGAGCAATCTGGTCAGGAAGCTTTGATCTCTCCACTTCAATTTTTAAAAATTGGCTGGGCACAGTGGCTCATGCCTATAATCTCAGCACTTTGGGAGGTTGAGGTGGAGGAATGCTTGAGTCCAGGAGTTTGAGACCAGCCTGGGCAACATGGTGAAACCCCATCTCTACAGAAAATACAAAAATTAGCTGGGTGTGGTGGTGCACACCTATAGTCCCAGCTACTCAGGAGACTGAGGCAGGAGGATTGATTGAGCCTGCGAGGTCAAGGCTGTAGTGAGCCACGATCATGCCACTGGATGCCAGCCTGGACTACAGAGCGAGACCCTGTCTCAAAAAAAAAAAAAAAAAAATTAAATTGTGGTAAAATATTCATAACAAAAAAATTACCATTGTAATCATTTTGAGTATACAATTCAGTGGCATTAAGTACTTTCACACTGTTGGGCAACCATCACCACCATCCATCTCCAGAACTTTTTTATCTTCCCACAGTGAAACTGTGTAGCCATTGAACATGATTTTCTATTCCCTCCTCCCCAGCCCCTGGCAACCACCTTTCTACTTTGTTTCTACAAATTTGACTACTCTAAGCACCTTCTATGTGTGGAATAGTATACTATTTGTTCTTTTGTGACTGGCTTATTTCACTTAGCAAATGTCTTCAAAGTTCATTCATGTTGTAGCACATATCAGAATTGCCTTCCTTTTGAAGGGTGAATAATATTCCACTGTGTACATACACCACATTTTATTTATTCATCCATCACGGAATGAATTGCTACCACCTTTAGGCTGTAGTCAATCATACTGCTGTGAAAGTGGATGTGCAAATATTTGTTCAAGTCCCTGTTTTCAAATCTTTTGGGTATTTGCCCAGAAATGGAATTGCTGGATCATACGTTTAATTTCTTCAGGAACTGCCATACTGTTTTCCATGGTGTCTGCACCATTTTATCTTCCCACCAGCAACATAGAAAGGTTCCAATTTCGCCATATTCCCATGAACACTTGTTATTTTCTGTTTTTTTGTTGGTTGGTTGGTTGGTTTTTTAAATGATGGCCATTGTAATGGGTTTGAGGTGACATCTCATTGTGGTTTTGATTTGCATTTCCTTAATGATTCATGATGTTGAGCATCTTTTCATGTGCTTACTGGCCATTTGTATCTTCTTTAGATAAATGTCTATTCAATTTGCCCATTTTAAAAATCAACTTGTTTTTGTTGTTATTGTATCATCTCAATTTTTCTTTATTATAAAACAAAGACTCAGAGAAGTGAAGTGACTTAGCCAAAGTCACCTCAGGCAGAAACATGGCTAAAAACACTGTGCTCCTGCTTTCATGGCCAATGCCCTTTCTACTATACCAGTCTGCCTGGTTTAATGGGTATCCTCACATTTTTCTCCAACTTCAGGTCTGATTGTCCTAGTATGCATGTCCTACTACCCTGTCTTTTTAGTAGCTCATTAACTTACTCTGAGCCTGGAATTTTAAGCCCCAGTGGTTTTCTCTCCCTGTCTAGAGTCAGTATTTATGACAGGCTCCCTTTCCACTCTCTCTGTTACTCTGGCCTCATCCCACCTTAAGTGGCAGCCTGTGTACTCTGCATACCTTTGGAGGAATTTATTAGGCCAGGGTCCAGATGCAAGACTGAGATAAATGTTTTACAGCAGTGTGGGTGACAAGCTGGAGACACGGCAATGCCACTTGGCTACAGCACACACTGGCCCCACATGACTGCTGACTGGAGCTTTCTAGTTCTTTTCAGTAACCAGGTGTCAGGACAGGGGAGGCCTGAGGATCCTTGGAGAGCTGGGAATTATTAACACTTGAAAGCTGGCTGCCAAGAATATCCGAGTAGTAATTCACTTGCTCCTCCTTTTCCCAGATGAGGGGTCAGAATACACAATCCTTTTCCACCACAAGAAAAAGGCACAGAACAAGAACATGCCATGGTCTGGGTTCCTGCATATAGCAAGGTCTGGTCTTGGCACTCTTGGAGTATTGGTTAAAAGGATATTTGGTTGCCCCTTTGTAAGAGATACAGAAACAATCAGTGGTCCTTGGGCAGTTTGGATTCTGCCTTAAAAAGCCAGACCCTCAAGGGCCCCCAACGGTCCAGAATGGGGAACAGGAGAAGAGCAAGAAAAGTGTCAGGGATCTCAAGGCCACAGCCTCAGCCCGACCTCATCCTTCTGGGGTCCATCCCATCCAGAGGTAAAGGGTCAGTGAGACAGAAGCAGGAACCATGAACAGCCTAGTGGCCCAAGTCTGTAGCTTGATTTAAAAGACATCCCTCGGCCAGGCGCGGTGGCTCACACCTGTAATCCCAGCACTTTGGGAGGCCGAGGCGGGCGGATCACCTGAGGTCGGGAGTTCAAGATCAGCCTGGCCAACATGGAAAAACCCCGTCTCTACTAAAAGTATAAAATTAGCCAGGCGTGGTGGCACATGCCTGTAATCCCAGCTACTCGGGAGGCTGAGGCAGAAGAATCGTTTGAACCCAGGAGGCAGAGGTTGCAGTGAGCCGAGATCGCACCACTGCATTCCAGCCTGGGCAACAAAGTGAGACTCCGTCTCAAAAAAAAAAAAAGACATCCCTGCCAGGCGCAGTGGCTCACGCCTGTAATCCCCCCACACTTTGGGAGGCCAAGGTAGGTAGATCATCTGAGGTCAGGAGATCGAGACCAACCTGGCCAAAATGGCAAAACCCTGTCTCTGCTAAAAATACAAAAAAAAAAAAAAAAATCATCCAGGCATGGTGGCAGGTGCCTGTAATCCTAGCTACTTGGGAGGCTGAGGCAGAAGAATTGCTTGAACCTGGGAGGTGGAGGTTGCCATAAGCTGAGATCGTGCCATTGCACTCCAGCCTGGGCAAGAGACCAAGACTCTATCTCAGAAAAAAAAAGACATTGCACCTGAAAGTATTGCTTCTCCCAGAATGGTTCCAGTGCCCCCTGACATTCTAGCTTGGAGTGCAAACTAATTGTGCCCATCTTGTTTTCTCTGTTGCTTAGAATTCTTGACAGGATGCCGGGCGCGGTGGCTCACACCTGTAATCCCTGCACTCTGGGAGGCCGAGGCAGTTGGATCACTTGAGATCAGGAGTTTAAGACCAGCCTGGCCAACATGGTGAAACCCCGTCTCTACTAAAAATACAAAAAATGAGCTGGGCCTGGTGGTGGGCACCTGTAGTCCCAGCTACTCGGGAGGCTGAGGCAGGAGAATCACTTGAACCCAGGAGGCGGAGGTTGCAGCGAGCCGAGGTTGCGCCACTGCACTCCAGCCTGGGCAACAGAGTGAAAGAGCGAAACTCTGTTTAAAAAAAAAAAAAGAATTCTTGCGAAGGAAAAAGCAATGCTTGTCTTGTTTTTTGGAAATGTAGTCTCGCTCTGTCACCCAGGCTGGAGTGCAGTGGCACAATCTCAGCTCAC